AGCCTGTAAACATCGTATATAGTTTTGATTGCTTCGTTTGTTTTATTTGAAGACTGAACTAAAGTTAATTATGTATTAGTAGGATTTTGTTTGTACAAACGCAATACCAACCTATCAGTAGAAATCTCAATAGAACATTCCGAACATCTCAATAGAACATTTTACAGTATAATAACTATTTGAGAACACGAAGAAATGACCAAAGAACTGTTTGTATGTCTGTGAAATCTTTATGCTTTAATGACCAATGAATTAAAAATTTAAACTTGGAACTCAAATAAATAAATAAACTAAACCATGTAACGTTATAAGGCATTTCGGTATTGTTACTAGGACGTTTATATTAAACGAAGGCTTAAAACTACTTACCATTATGTATTTATTGGTTTTAACTCGTGTTTATTTTCAGTGACCCTATAATTTTCAGAATATCCATGTTGTTTGATTTATGTTCAAATGGGAATTAAATGGTTAATATTTTTCGAAGTTTAAGTGATTCCAACTAAATCCATTTATAAAAGCAATAATAATAACCATTTTATTCAATATTATGTGTTATTACAGTATGAAGCTCTCAGGTATTTATCATGAACCAGTTTACATAAGAGAAAGCATGATTCTCAAAATACAAAAACTTTACATTTTAAATCCATATTGATGATTATTATCCATTGAATTTTATAACAAAATATACTAGAGTCAATTCACTTTTTTGTACAACAATTGATAGTCTAAAAATTTCCTAATAAGATACATATGTTAATTCATTTTATGTCCGGCTTGAAAAACAGAGCTGAACGGTTTCACTTTAAGACCATAAAAATAGTTAAATTAGTACTGTATGATTAACGTTTCCATTAACTTTTCAAACGACACTCATGGATTTACGGATTCAATGGAAAATTATTGACTCAAGGTGAATGTAATAAATAATAACACTATAATTAGATTTTAACTGGTAAACAAATTTTTGATAAATGTTATGGAGGAACGTTTTTTCGCTCATTTTCAATAAGGAAACATAAAACATAACTGAAACACTTTTCATTGTATTGTTCTCCATGTTCTAACTTCTAACGAGTCTATACGTATACTATTTATCAATTTTGGCTCAAAATTATTAATCTCGATAACTCAGTCGCTAACATTCAGAAGTATTTAATTAAAATTCTGTTATAACAGTAACTATTGTTCTGCATTTAAGCTTGTTAGATGACAATCGAGTAGCATAACAGTTGAAGTAAAATATTTTATCCGGCCTAACAAATCAGTGAACTATGTTTAAAACGACTCTGCCTATGATTGAAGATTAAAGTTATAGACTTTGACGAAATCAAATGAGCTGAGAATAAGTGATAGTATGATGACCTATATGGGACACGTTGATAGGCTTAACATGTGGATCAACATACATAAGCCGTTCACTAGTGAATAATCAATTATGTATATATACTCACCGTTATCATGAAAAATATCATTTATTAAGAACCATTTGTGCATATCAATCACGGAATAGTTACCTTTCGTGGAAACGATATCTATAGACAGCATTAAGAAAGGAGAGATAGATTCGAACCTTTTGATTCTCCAGTTGATAAAATCTTGAATAATTAAATTAACGAAACCTTATGCAAAATAATTCATAAAACTCCTGAACTTCAACTGCGATATTTAACGTTTTTTTACATTAAACAGAGTGAATTATGGTAGGCTGAAAGTTAGGGATAAAATTTATCGTATGATTGGCTTGATCAGTGTAGTCAGTTCAGAATTATGAAGGGGAAAAAGAATTTTGAAATAAAGATTCAGATCACGACGTGCATTACCTTAACATTATACAAATACTTCAATTCATTTTTAATTCGTAGATTTAAAACATAAATTTTAACTTCGGAACATGTTCTTAAGGTCCATAAAAGCAGAAACAATTCTATTGATCAAGGATGCAGCTATTCACGCTGACCTAAATCTTCACGTCAAAGAACATATAAAAAAATCACTTTTAAACGAGATATTCGATGCATGTTTGTGAAACCTACAATTAGACTTAAAATTACGTATACCGTTCTTTAGAATTTCGACATTTTGAATATGCAAAATACATAGAGTCGAAAAGCGCTTTGCGCAATATACTTTACCATATGTGGTAGAAGTTTCAAATTATTGAGGCCAATGAAAATTGGGACAGACACTACTGCATGATATCTTAACGATCCAAATCCTCAAACTTTAATCTCGAGATGTTCTATTTATGTCTTAACGCCAACGGTGAGTGGTAACAGGTAGAACGATATTTTTCGCTACATGTCTTACCATTTTACATACAGTTACCTATTGTTTAAGTAAACTTGAAGGCTTTATGTTTATAAACTGTAACTCCAAAAAAATAATTCTTCTTTAAATTACTACGTGTAGATCACTTTAATAAATGCTAAAGCACATATCTAAATAACATTGTTTTCTATATGGGATATATCTTGAAGCTCATACATTCACATGTAATGGGTTAAGCACTAATATTAGAAAGGTTTATCACTGAAGTTTACTAGATAACTGAGAAGCTAACTGATTCATTCAAGTACTAAACCCTCAAATGCATAAACTAAATCACTTCAACGAGTTCAATGTAATGGAACAATCTTTTATAAAAGTTTAACTTCAAAAACAAGCTGGATTACTGAGCAATGAAATCAGCTGAAAATCTGCAGCACTCTGACTAAACAACAGGAATCACTGTTCACCATATATTTTTCTTGTTTTAGTGTTTTCTAGTAAAATTTAGTGACATTTAATATTTCCCACAACTTTGATAACAACACGAAAATGTTGTAAGATGAATATAAGCATCTGGAAAAATTCACATATGTTAAATTATTTGATAAACAAAGCCTATATATGGTGAATACTTATTGATGGATTTCTTAAAACCCATGTATCCATGTTCTCGTTAGTTTCTATAAAATTCCCAAACGATCAGTAATCAGATGACTGAATATATTACCCTTAAATTTTTAACTGAAAATATTTACCAACAAAAATTTACCCGTGACTTTTGGAAACATGGGTGAATAATAGTAATAAACTCAACATATTTCATCATAAATTGAAATACTACACGTTCCACTTCATTCGCTATCACAACTGAGTTTTGAAAAATATTATTGATTTATCCCCTTTACACTTTTGTGGCTCAAGATCTGACTCCAATTCGATCGTTTCTGATTGTTATTTGAAATATGCATGTCGTTAATCCTCGTATATTATTATCGACTTAACTCGCATAGGTGAATAACGGAATTAAATAAATCAAATACGAGAGTGAATTTCGTATACGTATATTTCACACAACCATTTATTCAGACAGACAATCAGAGAAACGAAGCGAAGCTAAATAATGCGCAGTGGAGAAGATATGTGAGCCAACTCAAACTAATCAAGCGTTAATCAGTGTTTATAGTTGGATGGAAATAAGTTACAGACATTTGATCAATAGGATAAGAAATACACATATATGCTTACAAAAAACAGTCAAGGTTGGTAAGCGAATAATTGACAAGGTCAAAGAATGACTTAAGAAGAATGAATAAATTGGCCTGTCCGGAAGCTAGAATAAGCTATGTGAGCTTAGCATAGCAACCGACGCTACAACACATTGGCATATCCATTTAAACTGTACAGCCATAACGGAAATTATTCTTACAATAAATGATACCAGCTTAAACGTTTATAAACAGAGATGGGTGATGTTTAGAAGTGGGATCCAGTACACACTTTTCATCCTATTCGGGGCTCGTCAGCTGGATGTACCTGCATCCCAGAGTTGATGTACACTCCTGAACTCGAACCCAGTACCGTTTGCTTCAAATGCCATCACGTTATTTCCTTAGCTACTGAGTCCGGATAGAAACCAGCTTGTGCAATGTGGTGAAGTTTATGTCATTTTTGTATTGGTTGATTGAATCTTCCCATTGATGTTTAGGACTGCAATTGACTGATCTCTTATTGGCATATGTACATCCTATGTGGATTACTTCGATATTACCTTAAGTCACTCAAGGCACAAGTTTATATTTATTGTTACTTTATTGTTACTTAATCGTATTAATCACACATAGGTCTAACTTCCTACATACAATGAACTTATAGATAATTTTCCAATAGTGATTTAAGTAACTCGATAATTATATACCTTTCCTAAGTAGCAAACTGTATTTCGGACAAATACTTATTACTACATTGTATTAGTGAAATTTCCACTTACAGAAAATCATCAGGGTGACTATTCAAAGTACGACTGCTAACTTTTATGAAATACTTCAAATAAATTATCACTTTTCCGTTATGACCATCCCGTACACAGTATAGAAAGAATTCCAAATTCAACTCGCTACATCTAGCAGTTAATCAATATAAAGTATTCATGATTTGAATGCTATCATACTCAATTACTACGATGTTATTAAGTTTGAATGAAACTTTGAATGATTTATATCATATTATTCCCTATTATTCTTATTTTGGGTAGATTTCTTGTTTCGATTAAAGAGTTTTGTTGATTTATTTCTCCAGTTCCTGGATAGGATTTGTTTTTGTTGACTGGTAAACAATCCATTCTAAGTTATTTCTCAGCCATCCTATTGTAGTTTTGAAAAGTATTCAATAAGTTAATCTTGTTCACTAAGCGGCCTCACCTAAAATCCCGTACTGTAATTACATAACAAAGATTGAATCAGACATCCTGATTTACACTATAAGCGTCAGGCTAATCTTTAATAAGTAATATGTGTGGATGGAAAACAACAATGACAGATGTATCAACATGTGTACGAAAATTTTCTTACATATTGCTTATAGTGGTTTCGTTTCCCCTGTTTTTAAAAAATGTAACTTTCTTGTATCTAGCAAAATGGTAAGTTGTGACGCAAGCCCTTCAATACAATTTTTGATGCTTACACAAAGATAAACAATTGTTCGAATATATATTTCTTAATTTTTTTCAGACCTGAATACTACTTTTTCTCAAAAAATCATCTCTTCTTTGTAATAATCAACTTGGGAGTTATACAAATTGCTTATTCACAAAAAGACTTGGAAATTTTCCGCTTTCAAATTGCTCAGTGTTCAACAATGACAACATCACTAGGTGCAAACCTAAGCTACTGTTTATTTTGCGTTCAAAATTATAAAGAAGAATGTAATAATTTATGCGCCTCCCAAGAAAAGGATCAAGAAATCTGTAGTCGAATATGTTGGCGCTTTGCTAAGTACGGAACGTTTTCATGTAAAAACAATGTTGGCTAGCATTTAGTCAAGTTTATAATCTCCAAGAAGTGAAATATATAATTATTCAGAGATATATGACTGATTTAAACAAATAAAAATTTAAAAAAATTTAAAATTGCTGTAAAGTGATCACTCAGTTGTTCAATAAGATAATTTTCTTGGCACGTCAGTATTTATTCACTGAACTTAGGTTTTCAAAAAATAATTCAGTTAGTTTGTGGACATTTCATTACTAGCACTTAATTTTGCTTGACAATTCTAGGAAGTCTGTGATTACAAAAAAGAGATTGGACCTTCTTTTCTCTAGATCATCTATTTTAATTGTAGTTAATGGAACACTGATTTTGATGGGCAAATATCTATAGTTTGAACTATAAAAGTATTTTATCAGTTATATCTAAGAATACGTAACGATGGTATAAGATATGTTATTTACTTGAAAGCACAATTGCTTATTCATGACTTTATATCCTAAGTGCAAGTATGCAGTAGTACTTAATAATGCACACAAACTGATCACTGTTTCGTTTAGATTTTCCACAGAAATACAAGTTAAACTGGTTACTTAACAATAATTCCCCCAGAGTTGGGAAGACTGCAAGCTATAAAATCATTTAGAATTGTACGTGAAACAGGCTAGAAGGAAGATAAGATGAAAAAATTCCTAGAAACCTTTGGTACCGTACATTGAAACCACAGAAAACATCTTGAGAAATATGTTGTGTGGTGATTTGATTTTATTCTAACTGACTGTACAGATAGGTTCAGTATTACTGCTTTATTATAAAGTGGAAATTCCAAAGTGATAAAGGGAAACTTTTTTATCATTGAGGATTGGATAAGTGAACGTCAAACTTTTAGAACAATAGTCCATATCAGTATCTTAATTAAAACCACTTTAGTATTTTGTATATCCTCTCCATCTGACATTCTATTCTTGTTCATGTACCTCTTTGATAGAAAAAAAACAGTAGACACCTTTGTATCAAGCTATTTTTATCCAATGTTTATGAAAAAGTAATGTAATAAGACTAGATTTGAACTAGTTCCGGTTTTTACTTCATACAATATTTTATTAGTAATCATTAACTGAAGTAAATAGACTGATTTCATAAACTGAATTATAGGCGAATAATGCATTCAATTATGTAATCTTGTTATAATTCAAAGGGCCACCGATTGGAGGGCAGTGACTTATCGATCGGATCAAGGGATTCAGAATCTCGATAGACTATTCTGGTCCGTTGTCTCCGACTCAGCTAACGCGATCAAGAAGTCTTGGTAAAGGAGTAGAAAGTGTATTCCACAGGCAACCAGCAGATACCAGGTTAGGTCAATCAGGCACACAAGTCAAGCGTATTTATACAAATATTTATAATTGATATTGTCATGGTAAATTTTTTTAAATATTACTCAATAAGTTCATCAATCGACAGCCATTCAAATATTTAATCGATAAGTTCATCAATCGACAGCCATTCAAATATTTAATCGATAAGTTCATCAGTCGACAGCCATTCAAATAATTAAACATTTAATCTATAAGTTAATCGACAAGATGAAATTACAAAATCTGAGTTTTGGGGATCTATCGTCCCTAACAAATCTGTTAATGAGGAAATCATGACTTCCGTTGAATATCAATAGCTGAAACTATATATATATATATAAACTCTTCATCTGCATAACCGTAAACATTTGACACATATGATAAGTTGGTAATTGGCAAATTTCTTATGGCATTCGCTTTTTCTGTCCATTAATTAGTATAAACTAAAAAAGAAAGTTAATATAAACGCTAGAAAAGATTGACAATAACTAAGTATACTTTTTCTCTTGAACACTCGATATCATTTGGTGGGGAAATAAAAATAATAAATAGAAATCAAAAATAAGTATCTTATATTTACAAAGAATTACTTTACCGAAATAAGATACTGCAGGGCCCAGTAACCTACACTGATAGAAAATATAAATAGAAAGTAAATATCGTTAAAGCGAATATGGCGGAATAGTGTGTTTAGACAAAGGGACCGAATTATATTTTGATTTTCTGAAACAGACATTTTGAGATTTTTTGGAACTTCATTACACTAGATGGAACAAACATGACCACATAAATGAATTCCTTCAAAAGCTGCCTGTTAGTTTATCACCAGCCATTCACTTATAAGGTTTCAGTATTTTGGACCATCACGTTCGGTATTCATGATACATAATGAAGTTTCGACCTAAGTGTTGTAATTCTTATCTTTCACCGAGGGAACTTTCGGGAAATGATGAAAAAAGATACAGCTTATACTCCCAGAGGTATTCTTTTTTTAAAAATTGGTTATTATGCTGGATCGAAATCCCGATCCAATCATGAATGTACATTCGCTTAAATATTATGTAAAGAAAGATAGTTTGGTTATTGTATGATGAATAGTACTCTTGTTTACACTAATTCGCATCTTACTTGTTATGTAACTGTGATTCACTTTACTGCTAAGTTCACTAAACTTCATATCCGAAAGTCTTTGGTCCGATAAATTAATCAGAATAAAACTTAACTACTGTTCAGTGTTCTCTAATGTTAATTGAGTGAAATGTTCAAAACACAAAATATGCTTAATTTCCCAATCTCTTATTAAGCTATTTGTTTCTTCTGCTTATTTACTAACAAAAGTTGCAAAACGTGGTTTTTGTTAGTTTTTTATTAGATTAGTTATTGAGCCGTTTAATTATGATGTATGAAGTAATGTAATCACTTAAGTGATTGTGCTATTTTCCACCAATCGAATTCATACTCGATTAAATTCAAAACATGATATGTTAGTCACAGTAAATCCTAATACATTATATAACGTATTTCTGAAAATAATTTCAGAATACAATAGCTTCTTACTGACATATCGTGTCTAGGCTTATTAATGGTTGGTAAGGAGAGATATGTTTTGGGCTATTTACGTGATTATTTTTTTGATTTTGACTTATTCTGTACTTCAGATGTTTTTCTTTGGCAGCAATAGTTAAAATCCAATAACTCCATGCTAAGAATTCAAAGTAATGAAAGTCATTTAAATATTTTCATATTTGTTTGTAAGAAATTTGTTTATCAAGTTAAAGTCAGACAAGATTACTAAGAAAACATTGAAAAGAACGTTTAATGAACTTGACAGTATAGTGACGTGGTATTAATAGAGACTCATTTGTGTAGTAATTATTAACTAGAAAGCAGTAATTTTTCAAACTGTATAAATTAGTTCCAATCAGCAATAAAAAGTGAAATCTTACGAAATCAGATAATCGCATACTACAAAACACTTTCAGTATTCTGATGAATACACTTAACTAGAAAAAAAAGACATCCATATTGTTAAAACAACTTAACCATGATAAAATATATACTAAGAGAATATAGAGCTTGAAAAGTTTTTCCAGGTCATCAGCTTTCTAAGTATTTATCCATTTACATTTCCATAGATTATTTGAGTGGACACAGATAAATGTAGTACTTAGTTATTAGTAGACACTTTTAGGTGTGAAATGTTCTACCTAAAAAGAATAAATAAATCCAAGTACTCAACTGCTCATTATTTATCATATTCAACTTTAACTGGTGGGTAATTTTATTCACTAATATTTTAAAGAAACTGTTATCTACTAGAACTCAATACAGAAACTCTCTTCTTGGCTTAGATAAAACGGTTGAATGACTAATATATTTCACATCGGGAACTAATTTTAAATTCATTCTTTACTTTACAAACCATAAGTCACATATCCGGTGATTGTAACCAATAACTTGTGTGTCAACAAATACATAATTCAGAAAGTAGTTCTTAGGTCTTATGTCATCGATGAATAACTTGGAATTCCCATATGTAATTCCAAGCATTATATAGCTACAAATTATATTTATGAAGCATACTAGACTTTTATTCGTGATAGTGTAACTCACTTGTAGTTTTTTTTGCCAAAAGCTTAAGTAAATATTTAATACTTGAGTTAAATAATGTATACAGCCGTCTTTAGTTTTCTGAAATACCTGATTTTATTCTTTGGAGGTAGAAAAACAGGCATAAAAAGATTTATTTCGTCAAGTACACATCACCTGCGAAACCTAAAGATCTTCTTTTACACATTAACTTACTGAACTTTTCTTAAATTTATTCTTGGATGAAACTACTAGAGTCGTTTATGTGTATATTAATTTAATAGTTATCATAGTGAGTTTAGAAAATGGAAAGTATTCCAACGTTTTCTAAAGGCTGTGTTTGATTTTCAGACATTTAATTAAACACATATTTTGTAGACTTCGCAATCATTAATGAATTATATTGAATACTGAAATACATGAACTACAAATTCTCCGAACTCAATAGCGTCCAATCATTCGTCATTTTCATTGACTGATTATAAAGTCATGTGTATGGTCCTCAGTCGGAGTGTTGCAAAATTAAACTGAACAGCTTTTCTGTTCATTCTTGTTTCTAACGATGTGATATATCTTGCCTTTGAATTCCTTATCACTGACTTGACATATATATATATATATATATATATATATATATATATATATATACAAAAGAGCTTAATCAGAGACATCGTGGTTGCTGGCAGTATGAATCGAAAAGAATATACATTCTTCAGATATCGATTCCTGAACTGTTAACATTTAACTGGGCGGCCTGCTTGAATATCTGGGGAACCTGTTTCTGCCATCTGATTATTTCAACAAGTTATCTGGTTTGTTTGTTTGTTTAAACTTATAATTATGTCCATTAATCGCATAACCTATTCAGGCGCTTTTATGAAAAGTTTACGACCTTTCGCTCCACAGATTACAAAAAAGTACTATAAAAGGCATCGTGGTGGTTGGCAATATGCGTTAAAGAGAATGAACATCAATCGTATGTCGATTCCCGAGCTACTTAATTCTAACTGCCGATCACTAATCAACAAAGTGGACTATCTGCAATTCCTGCTTAGTCAAAATACGTATCGTAATTGTGGCGTCATCACAATTCAAGAATCTTGGTTGAATGATTTACAGGATGACTGCCTTGTATCACTACATGATTTCAAAATTTATCGTCAGGATCGATCGAACAATAAAAAAAGGCGTGGTGGCGGTGTAGCTACGTTTG